AAATTAAAAAAGGGTTTGTAAATTTAGCACTACGTGTCCAGAATTTTGGTTTTCCTTCATCTCCTCGTCATTTTTCCTCCATGCTTGAGTTGTAATGGTCCATGATAAGACAACTGTGAAGGTTGATTGAATGGATCTATAGTAGATGTCTCATCAATGAGATTAACCGTTAATAGTGTGATCACAACAAACGATATTCGACTGTAAGGAGAAGGTGAGTCGGCTGGCAAAACGTTTATTGATCCAATTAAAAAACAACCGGTGTTTTCGTTCGACTATATACAATCAATTCTCAACCGCGCGGCAGGATGATTCATGTCTCATTCTGTTGGTACGTTCCTGTTGGTTTTGGTCCGCACTTGTCACGTACGTTGCTTCTTCTTCCGCGTGCCGTTCCGACTGGTTTGACCCGATCGTGGCGAGTGATACGTTGATCTACAGCTCCGACGTTGTGGTATTCGGTGGATATCTTTCTAGCTAGACGCAGATCGTCCGTCGGGCTGTAATTATCGATTTGTTCGTTTCGAGTAGTAGTCGACATTGTCTCGCGAAGTACTTCCAGCCGCTATGTCTGCGCACCTGGTTGGATCGGCCCTATTCTTGATTTGTTCGCTAGCCGGGACTCTCTTTGTACCACCTTCCGTCACACTAGCCCCTTCTTTGAAATGATTGTCACGGGTGTACCACCGCTCTAATTCTTTACTATTTACCCATCTTCCTTGAGGACCCTGATTGATCCGAAAACTGGCTTTCTTCCTCTCCAGGACAGTGAATGACCCCATCCACCTCTGCTTGAACTTTCCTGCCCCCGATATTGTCGTTTCGTGTCTGCCTTAATTCTTAACTTTTACTAGCTGTCCCGGTACGAACGGCTGCCACTTTTGGGATCGGTGTTCTTTGTCGTGCCTTGCCTTGTGGCGCTACTGGGTTTGCCTGGTTTTTTGAACCGCTTCTCTCTCTAGTTTGTCTCGCCCCTTCGTGGAAAGTTGTTCGCCAAATCTCCTGAAAAGCACATCCAGTGGCGCTCTGTGTTCTCTACCGTATATGATTCCGTAGGGTGGTATCTCCGTTGTCGATTGAGATGTGGTTCTGTAATTGAATAGGATTTCCGATGGGTTTCCTTCCCAATCACCGCAATGGTTATTGAGCCATTTCTTCATTTTTCTGCTGAACCGTTCAATCATTCCGTTGACTCGCGGATGATAGGGAGACATTCTTGTTCGTTTTATGCCCCAGCGGTGTAAGATCTCCCGAAAAATCCCTGGTCGATAATGACATTCTACGGGATGCCGAGTCGTGCAATCACATTGTCTTTAAATACCCCAGCAACTGTTTCTCCTGTTTTATCTGAGGTTGGTACCGCTTCCACCCAGCGAGACACGAGTTCGGCCAATGTACTTGTTCCCTGTTGGACTAATAGGTTGATGTCCAAACACATCCAGTACCCAGGTTTGAAGTACTCTCTGTGTGTGTGTATTGTTTGCTTTGGTGGTGTTGATGGCGTCGTATATTTATTATGTTGGCACTCGGGACAAGAACGGATGTATTCAATTACATCCCAACACATTGTTGGCCAGAACACACGACGTCGTAATGAACCGAGAACTCGGTGCCTTCTCATGTGTGCTCCATCGTGTGCAAGCTTCAACAACCTTTCGTGAAGACCGGCTGGGACGAATAGCAGTCGCTTAGGTCTCAGTCCGTGTTCCATGTCCACTTCCATCACCAAGCTCTCATTGTTCAAATGCAGGCGATCCCATATCTATTGAGGATATGGGATCGCTTCCATTTGATGGTCAATAATTCTCCTATTTCGGGTGACCTTTCTTCCGGCTTCGTTTTTGACTGCGGATGTTCACAGATGGTTCGCACCAGACCATCCTCTTTCTGATATTTGTTAATTTCCACATCGCTCGAAACCAGCTGGGAAACTGGGATGGCTTCCAGTGGAACACCTTCATTGGTGATCGGAAGCGATAGGAAGTCAAGAATTTCATTATCTTTGCCGTCAACATGTTCAATGGTAAACATAAATTTCTGATGACGATACGCTCATCGCGCCAGTCTTCCTCTCGGGTCGCGAACCGTCAACAACCACGTCAAGGGCTTGTGGTCTGTTTTGATGTGGAAGGTATTCGCAATCAAATACATTCGCCATTTCCCCAATGCCCATACAATCGCCAGGCACTCCGTTTCAGNAAGCGGCTGGCATATTCAATTACTCCAGAAGGTTGTGACAACACTGCTCCGATTCCAATGTCGCTAGCATCGACGGCCACAGTGAAGATTTCTTCAGGTTTCGGTATCTTCAGACATCTTTTCTCAGAGGCCGTAGTTGTTTTCAGCTCTGGTGTCCACTCAAACTTCCTGTCCTTTCTCAACAACTGGAACAAGGGGGCAGTCTTTTCAGCGAAGTGCGGTATGAATTTTGCGTCGTATCCTACTAATCCCAAAAACGATCGTAATTGGCATTTGGACTTTGGAGGGGAAAAATTTCGAATCGATTCAGCCTTCTCGGGTAACGGTTTAATTTTACCTCCGCCAACAATGTGACCCAAACACGTGATTGTGTCCCGAGCGATTTGGCATTTCTTTGCACTGAGTTTCAACCCTGCATTTTTGATTCTCCCAAGCATCGCTTCCAGCCGATGAACATGCTCCTCTGGTGTCTTCGAGACCACAACAATTTCGTCCCCGTACACTACAACACCACCCAAGTTTTCCAGTATCTGTAGCGACAGACCGCTGAACGTAGCTGGTGCCTTGTGCAACCCAAACGGCATCCGAACAAATTCGCATTGCTACCCGTTGACACAAAATGCCGTTTTCTCTCTGTCTCTGGCTGCCACTAGTATTTGCCAGTACTCTGACCTCAAGTCGATTAGTAACAGTACCCGTGCAGAGTGGAGTTGTTCAAATATTTCATCCGTCAGTGGCATCGGAAAGGTTACACGGTTTAGTTCTCGAAATTCGACACAGAATCTGTAAGTACCGTCAAATTTTCTAGTGAGCAGCACTGGTGACGACTACGGGCTAGTACTTTTACGGGTGATACCTTTTGACAGCATGTCACGCAATTGTTTCTCCACCTCCGGCAGTACCTTGTGAGGTATCCTTCGGTACACATGTTTACACACGGCTCTTGGCATTAGTTCTATTTTGTGTTCCATACTCGTTGTCTGCAGTAGAAAACAACTCAGAATACTTTTCAACACATTGCTTAACATATGAAATTAAACACTCCGGAACGGCCGTTTTCCTCACAACGCTGACGAGGGCATGCGTTTGTTTTCTTGAGTTTAATTCGGGTGCTTGCGATCCCATGAGCAATTTACCTCCCACGAAATCAATCTTCGCACCCACGCACCGGTACATTGCCTTATCGCGGTCACCCTCCTTTGAAAACTCTGTCACCAACAGGGCATGCAAATTTTCATAGTCATAGCTTGGTTGCTTTCCAAATTCAAATCGTAAGCGGCCCTCGCTCGTCCGGAAAGCAGTGTACCCAACGCAGTAACTAGATGCGCACTCCCTTTGATGCCGTTGCATGATGCGATTAATTCAAAATCGCGAATCCACTTCTCCACATCTCCGTCTGCAAACGCGTTCGGCAATGGTATCTTCATTGCGTTGTGCTGACTTGGGCGACGGCACAAATGTAAAGAGAAGGCGAGTCGGCCGGCAAAACGTTTATTGATCCAATTAAAAAACAACCGGTGTTTTCGTTCGACTATATACAATCAATTCTCAACCGCGCGGCAGGATGATTCATGTCTCATTCTGTTGGTACGTTCCTGTTGGTTTTGGTCCGCACTTGTCACGTACGTTGCTTCTTCTTCCGCGTGCCGTTCCGACTGGTTTGACCCGATCGTGGCGAGTGATACGTTGATCTACAGCTCCGACGTTGTGGTATTCGGTGGATATCTTTCTAGCTAGACGCAGATCGTCCGTCGGGCTGTAATTATCGATTTGTTCGTTTCGAGTAGTAGTCGACATTGTCTCGCGAAGTACTTCCAGCCGCTATGTCTGCGCACCTGGTTGGATCGGCCCTATTCTTGATTTGTTCGCTAGCCGGGACTCTCTTTGTACCACCTTCTATCACAAGATGTTTGCGGAATTACCGGAGTTCTTACAGTAACACAGGCCACAAACGGGTGATTTTCTAATATCCACTGATAAAGTTCTTCCAATGATTGCGCTAGCCTCTCATAAAACGTCTGAATAGGCTGCTTTGTTCGCAGGTAGGCACCGAGATGCAACACCGGAGACATCCAAGCACAGAAGAGACTAGGTACCGTTTTCAGCGCCCGAGTAAATTTAAAATTGCGTCGGTTAAAAATTATGCCAAATGTCTATGTTCGCTTGGATACGATGTTCGATCTTGCGGTTATGTATGTGGCGCAGTGAGGGTAATGGTTGAATAAGGAAGAATCACTGTATCATTACGACCATTGGTAATTGTATTGCCATTATTTGTGTTGTAACCGTTATTTGTAGCCATGTCGTTGTTAGAAGGATAGCATGTCCGATGCTACAGTATTGCTGTGATTACTCAATGGAGGAAACGATTCCGAAAGCAAAGTAGACATAATGAACAGTCAAAATAAAGTAACGATGATTCAGTTGTACCCCAGTTGTAACTTGTTTCAAATTTGTATATGATTTCAGCGCAAAATCATATTGGCTGACTTGACTTTCAGTTAATTATAAGGTTATCAGGACGACCACTTCGATAACAAAAGAAAACAGTCTTGAATTGCAGTAGTTCTAACAAACATCCACTCAGGTATCAACTGAATAACAAGTAAGACACGATTCCCTTTCTGCCGTAAGTCGAAATTTTTAAATTCAATCAATCCACCAAGTTCCGCATTAATTATTGATCAAGAAACCAAAGTGTAATCGATGAAATTGTTCTGAGATCAGATAAAAACATAGAAATAATATCAATGCATGTTTAGTGTTTTTATCGTTCTGCCTAATAGGGTCACGTTAAATGTCAAAGTTCGTGTGCAAATTAGTATTTTACTGAAATTATAGTGGAAAGTATGTATGTGTGAAATTTCAGGCGAGAACACCACTTGCAATAATTATGATGTAAGGAAATAGACAAAACAATTCCAGACCGTCGATTTTCAATCAAGGATCTAGTGTGACGATTTTAACGATAAATGCTTCATATTTTATGGAAGCAATTTCGTGTGAGTTTGATGTCAATATTTGCAAGGAAAAGGAATTCTAGGATTTTTCAGGTTTATTTACGCTGCACAATGTAGGCGAACATATGTTTTCGGTGAATTCCTTTTCGAGCCTTTACAATCAAATTTATGTGAAACAATTTCAGTAGGAAGAGAAAATCGCCTATTCACATGACCATGACGTAACATAACGACTTTGGTTACGCGATCCAAACAGTGCATAAATTTGGAGTTCTCTTGGGTTGATTGCTAAAAACATGACTCGTCCACCTTCTTGTTTAAACCTGCTGAAATTAATTCATATAAATGTGATTGTAAAAGCTTGAAAAGGAATTCACCGAAAATATATGTTCGCCTGCATGGCGTGTTCTTAATCAGTGGGCATATTTCGTGATTATTCACGATGGATGAGTATATCAGGATTGTGTGTATGTTGATTTAGCACAGTTCATCAAAACAACCTCTCTCTCGCTCATGTCTGATCACACTCCATGCGATGTTTGGGCATTTTCGATAAAAGCATTCACTTGGTAGCGTCAACCGATACAAACGCATCGTACTCATTCTGAACCACGTATCCAAAGATTGCCACTGGATCATCAATGTTGCCAGATGTGCTAGATAGCCTAACAAGAGTATTGATTGTATCGTTACACGATTGTGTTTCGCACAAACAGTATTATGACACTGTGCATAAAAAGGCCAATAGAGTGGCCCTTTGAAATATTATCTTAGTGGGATTTCATGAAAACGCAAACAAATCATCTGGACAAAAATAGTCTATCGTAAAACATTTGACAAAGTAGACTAACAAATCAAAGGACTTTCATGAGTTTGTTTGTTCTCATATATCAATGTAACAAACCGCAGCAGGTTGTTACGAATCAGCAATAGTCCAAAAGTATCTATTCAAGATATACGTAAGGCGAAATCGAAAGCAAACGAGAACTCAAATGCTAATCGAGTATACAAAATACAATTCTATCAAGGGCAAAATTTACTACGAAACAAATTATGAAACAGTTTTACCTCAACAGTGCAATCACGACCAACAAAGGACTAGTTGAGGAGCCAATCGCGGACCAGATTCGGTGGTATAGGTGACATATAAGATATCCAGCTGGACCAGGACCCTTCGTGAAACACTCGAGTGAGCGAAACAAGACGGGCATTTAAGGGTAGTGTTGTAATACAAACGTACCCCAGGGTCTCGCAGAGCAGCGGAATGAACAGATGCGCGACAGGATGTCCCTCGGCTCGTATTCTCACAGCGGGAGACGATACAAGGTTTTGCGGGTGACGGAAGACAACAATGAACGGCTGTAGGGATGCGGGACACGGGTTGGCGAGGTAACACTGGCAGACAGGTGGTCTTCCGTAGGCCGAGGTTGAAGCTAAACCTGCAAGGCAAGGCAAACAAAACGCCTTGAACCGAACAGGTGCAGTGAGACACAAGCAGTCATGATTAAAAGTTTGCTGGCGCGGTTGCCAAGCGCTACAGTGTCAACCGGTCAGAAAAAAAGCAGTCGCTATTGGGCCACTAGAATTTGTCCAGCCGGGATACAAACACACGTGATACTAGAGCAGGGTGGGATAGAGTCACTCTGTTGTCAGACTGGTATCAAAAATGTAACACCGTCCGCTAAGATCTTTTTTGCAACCTGGGCTGAGCCAGTGTGTGTCGCAAAGTATTCTCCCCCATTTATCTATTCACGGACCCAAAACACTGAATCGCGTTAAGATTTACAGCAGTACGCCTACTTTTCTCTTATCCATGGGATGCACAGAACTAGCAACAGTGTCTGGGCATCCAATCCCAATTTAACGCATTTCAGATGTACATATTCCGAATGTTCCGCTTAACCATTCCCCTGGGAATTTTCTTACAACGCTGTTTCAAGTAACTTTGCTGTTCACCACAGCCTGATAGAGTAGTCACTGGCACGATTATAACACTCGATCAAGCGGCTCCGCTGAAGGGCAAGTTGCATAGCTTAGCTTGAAGTTCCCTCGTAACACATGACATTTAGCTCGAAATAAATTCAGCCCTTGAAATCTGGAACGCCTTCTTATTATTATTGTTATTCTGGCGTTGCTATTCTTTCTTCGATGGCAGTGGGATGATGAACTGGTCTGCTTTATACACCATGATTCATTCAATTTTACCCATTGCACCTGTTTCGATATCCTTGGTATGAAAACTGCAGGAAACTCAATGATATAATACCGATGAATTTCCCTAACCAGTTCGGACTCGTAAGTTATACACCTCATGACCATCTTCTCGTTTTCCCGGGAGCGATAAAATCCCGGATCATTCAACAAGGTTTGCTTACGCCACTTATATTTTTTTTAAATCAATGCACTTTCAGTACGTCGTTACCCTTATCAACAGCAAAGAATGGTCTAGCCTGTTCCTCAACAGTAAACTGTGCAAAAGAGACCACCAAGTTACTATCATTGCAGTTCTCTAATCGACGATCAAATCATAACTTACGATTACTCGAAGCAGCTGAACGGGTTAGCAATTTCCTTCATCCAAGTGACAATTATGCACAACCTGATGGACAATAGGATGTTAAACGTGCATAACCTGGTCAATCGACTATCATCGCTGGACACGGCATTCTGCTTCTCACACACTGCGTAAAGGACCCATAACGGAGCAGAAAAATATCTCGGATACGGTTTAGCACACGATAACACGATAACCTGATTTGGCTCTAATCCTCTGACCGATAATTCTTTTCTCCAAGATCGATAGATTTTAGGCTATCATGTTCAAGAGAAAATGGTTATTCTGAACCGTTTATTGTGAGAAACTGGTCCAGGGTTACCTACCATGTATCTCCCAGCCTCTCTAAGACAGCGCGCTTATACAAACTAGCCACCGCTGAGGTGATATGCATTCTCTTTTTCACATCCGAACAAGGCTCTCCACCTACCCTGGCCCCGAACTGATCACTAATGTCACCACCATCATCAAAACCTCGATCACAATCGATTTTACCCAAGCAGAGACAATCTCCTCACTCCTTATCCCGATTAATGTTTGGACCGAGAGTGAAAGTATCTCTACTAACATCAAACCCGTAAG